TGGGATGGCAGGGGTAGGGGAACGGTTGGGCTGGGGGAGCTTAAAGGGCTTTGCCAACCTCAATGATTCTATGATTCATGGGAAGAAATGCAACGGACTATTCATAGCCAATGTTTTGGGATCGGATCTGTATGCAACTGGAAGATGAATGCAACTGAAGAGAGTTGAGTCTGCAGGGCATATCTGGTTTTGATTTTTTTAATGGCTTAATCAAACTGGAAGGCAAAGATGGACCTCGAGGGGCCGTCTAGTTACAGTTCATCCCCCTGTACTGAGTGTTTCAGCCCTTTTCTCTCTGATTTTCTGTGATGCTTTTGCTCCAAGGGTGGATTTAAGACTGCAGTGATCTCAGCTCTTAGCACATCTCTCTCTGTCAGGCTCAATTGCTCAGTTTAACAATAACAATTGAAGGAAACCTAATTGAGCAACTTCCCTGGGTACTGTTTAACTTCAGCCTGCCTGGGAAAATGTGTGAGAATTTCTGCAGGAACTCTCTTGGCTTTCTTTTTTTTTTTTTTGTAATTTAATTATATACTTTCATTAGTGATGTTAACGACATAATAAAAAAAAAAAAAGAAGAATTAGGAGCTGGATAGCTGTTGAGTACCGAGGGAAGCTGGCATGTCTGGATGGCGTTGTGCAAGCGGCTTTACCTGAATGAAATTGAAATTCTGCCCCGGAGGTGAACTGTGGCTTCATCCAAGCTTCTGTGGCAGTAACGTCCGTCAGCTGGAAGTGTGGTAGGTGCTGTACACAGCTCCCCATCACTGAATAAAAAAAGCGTTGAAGTTCCTGCAGGCACCTTGGTCTGGCTCCTTGGAAGCCGTTTCGCTGATGGCTTTGCTAATGATTAAGAGAGGAGTGGGTAGCAGGACCACGTTTCTTCTGCCTGTCCTATGGATACCGTGCATTCTGTGGGCTTCAAGTCACAGCAGCTGATGAAACTATGTGGGTTTGCCATGTCCTGTCCAGGGCTCTGAACTACTTTTAGAATTACTACTCTGGCTGTTGGAGGAAAAAGCAAACATTTCTTAGCAAATAGCTGCCGCCGGATCCAGATAGCTGGTGATGCTGGCTGTTTGCTTTGCGGTGCATCTGCTGTCCTTGCTGGGGAGATGATGTTCTGTTAGAAACCTTAGTGGTTTGTGACAGGTCTAAATTCCACTGGGGAATTCATCAGGCAGACTTGTTTTTCGGTAATGACACCTTGCAAGCCGGTCTCTGGGCTGGATGCCCGGGCTTCTCCTGTTTTCGACGTAGTGATGTGAAATCGGTAACCACTACCTCTGCTTTCGTAGTTCAGGTGTTTTTCTCAGAATGGGAGTAGTTAGGATGTTGGTGAAGCTCGGAGGGGACGGGCGGTGTGATTTCTGCCTCCATCAGCTGGGAGTTTTGCGGAAAACCCAATTTTTTTCCCCTGGAAGTTGTTGGTGGTGGTGATCTGCTGCGGAAAGCGTGTGCGTAGCTGGCACAATACAAAAAGGAGGAATTTCAGGCGGGTCGTGCCATAGCGATGCAAAGCCAAACTTTAAAATAAGGTTTAATTTTTGAAATAGGGAACTGTATCGTAATCTGCAAGCCTTTACTTCAGCAATGCGATTTTAATTGTACGCACCCTAACCGGAGAGTTTGTGCTTAATTTCTTAGTTGTGGTGCTGGTCTCTGAAACTTGTTGGCTCTTCTGCTGAGGAACTAATTATCTTAAGACCGCGTAATTTAAAATATGTTCCAAGGAAATAGCTGAACTAGAGCATCGTGATTGGATTCACAAGTGGCTTGGACAGCTAGAGCTGGTTTTTCTCTGAACCCCCGCCCGCCTTTGGGCAATGAGCTGGCACCTGCCCGTGAGACATCCTTCCCGGTGGGTTGCTTTTATCATCTCAATAACTTGATTCTGTCTCGCCTGTCCTTTTAATCAAAATCACCACCAAGAAAAGCAGGCCGTCTGACTTGTCAGAGAGTCAGTCTGACGGCTTGATTGAACTTGCTCAGGTATTCATTAAGTGCCGCTAGAGAGAGCTGGGAGAATGGAGAGGGAAGGCGAGCAGCGCTCTGGCTTTTAATGTGCAAAGCGTATTCTGTGCATCTCCTGGTATGCGGGGAATGAAACTTGTTTCCACGCGCAGATGTTTCTGCAGTTGCTGGAACCCCGGGCAGGATACCTGGAAAGAGCCCCAGGGTGCAGAGGACCATGGCAGAGCGGCCCGTGGCGGCCGAGTTCGTCACTTGGTCTCGGGTGCCGCTGCCAGAAACGAAGGGCCTGAGCTTCCCCGTTTCCCGACGTGGTAAATGAGCTTTCATCTGTGAGTGTGCATTAGCACGGCCGAGTTACAGGCAGTGGCTTCTGATGGAGTTGAAACTGGGCGCCGGAGTGAGTGCTGTAACGGGCTATAATAAACTGTCATGAAATTTGTTGAAGCAGCACAGTGTGTGTTACTCATTAAACCTCTCTAACTTTTGAACTCGCCGTCGCCAGCAATTTTGCTTTCTGATTATATGTACTCTTAGGGAAACAGCTTCTTCTACAGACTCTGAGGAGCCCAGATCCAGATGTGTGACACGGACCTGTGTAACTACAACATAAACACCCCAGAAGTGTGTTATAAAAAAAAGAAATCTAATCCCACGGCTATTTTTTTGCTTCTTTCCCCTGACTTTGTAAACATAAGGAATGACCGTGTCCGGGGCTATACAAAATACAAGGATTTAAAAAATACCCAGCTGCTCCGTGCTGGGTATCGGTGGATTACTTAATGAGTCAGATTGCTCTATATGCAAAATAACGCCTGGCTTCTCATGGCCAGGCACTACAAATTCATGCTGAAACTCTAAAGCAAAGCTTTGTTCCCTGCGGCTCCTGCGCCCATTATTGGCCATAGTGGCCAGAATTCGGTTAATAACTCACCGCCATCAGAACCCAACTCCAAAATAAAGCTGGGTTGCTTTGCAGAGAGCAAATGTGAATAAAAATAATAAATGCTATTTTTGCATTTAAGCCCCTGCGAGTTTAGGGCCTGTATTTATGGGGAGCGTGGGGGCAGGTTTAATATGTAAAATTGAGCGTATAAGCAGGTGTTTGTCAGATCAGGGCATTGGGCACTAAAAATAAAAAAAATAGCATCTCTGAATAGGATCAAAGAGAATATTGTTGGGTAAATGGATATCATCTTTATGCATGCGCGTGTTCTAAAATAAGTCCGGGCTTAATGACATCAGTTTAGTATTTCAAATTTCCTTTTAGTCATCTTTTTCTCGATCATCTTTCAAAATCGTGTTTTAAAATAAAATAGCATATTGCATTTCTAAGCTCTTTAGCGTGATTTCTATTTTTGTGGGCTTATTTTTGGTAGAGATAGAGCTGATATTGTGACCTACATTTCCTTATTTGCGATAGCTAGGGATAATAGCTCTGCCCGTGATTTGTTTCATGCCTTGCTGAAAGGCATCGCTTTACGATATGTTTTCCAGGTACGTGAGATAAGAAGGAAAGGAAGTAACTGCCGACAGTAATTAGAATTAATCAACAGCCTGTGTTCTTCACAATAATTTAATGAAATGCTCTGCCCCGTAGTGTTATGAATCATCTTTGGTCTTGATCCTTACGGGAGTTTTTGTTCACGTGGTCTGATGTGACCAAGCTTCCGTGGTAGAACTTCCCGAGTGCAAACGTTGATGCTGTTTAGGTCGTGCTTTGGACTTACCAGATGTTATCTTTCATTAAAAATTTGAGTTATTACCCTCTGCGCAACATCCTGCGATCTCCTCTTCCCAAAAACACCCTCAGGAGTTGTAAACACATTGATATGTGTCTTCCCAAAGCTCGAGCAAGTGATGCCTGGCATTAAGGATACCCAGGTGTGTTTGTCCTCCCTCGGACGGCGCGCGCGGGGCGTGCACGGCTTCATCATCGCAAATTGGTCATGCACGAATACAGGCAAAGCTGCTCTGTCTCGGGCTTTGCCTTAATATCTCTGCTGCAACCAAGGGGTTTTGAAAGTGAAGTCTGGCACTAATTTATGAGAGCGACGTGGGGAAAAAAATAGGTCAGCAAGTATGAAAGGTGCTGACAAGCATATAATATCTAGAGATTGTTAAAAAGGGGGAAAAAAAATAGGCTTAAGACAGCTTTTCCAAGCAAGCTGTTGTGCCTGAGGTTTTGTAGGCATCGGAGCAGGGCAGAGGTGAAGTCGCTTGCTGGAGGACACGTGAGCAGGCTGCGGCAGAACTGGGGAGCAATTTGGGAATTCTGATTTCCTAATACTGCATTCCTTGAAATGGAAGCAAACAAACTGGAAATGTGGCTGTTGGGGCAGGGGGGTTGCTTGGAAAAACCCATTTGGGAATAGATTCAGAATTTGGAGAGGCCACCTTTCCAGGCAAGCTCGAGTTTTCCAAACTCCAGCTCTTTCATTTCTGCGTATTTAAGGATAAATACTGCACAAAAAGCAGAAATATTAGAAAGATGCTGAAGTGATCACCTCTGTTTAAAGCATTGCCTCTGCGTTGTTATTCTGTAGCTGGGGTTGAACTGACCTTGCCGTCCCTGAGGCACGTGAGAGCCTGTATCACAGCAAGGAGCATCCGCGCAAGCCGCGCCGATTCCCTCGCGACAGGCGCGCGTGCGTTGCCTCTGCGAAGAAGGGGAGTTCTGAAATTGCTGCTGTGCTGCTTTCGGTCCGATCGCCGGCGTCATCAAAATAGCCCTCGTGGCACGTGTGAGGCATTGGATCTATCTCTTTCCTAAAATAACCTCCAATTGCTTATGGCAGGCTTTTGGGGCTTACTGCTGTGACTATTTTTTCCATTTTCCAGGGCTGGGTTTTAAATTTCTGCATGCCTTCTCCAATGTCTCGATGCTCAGCCGTCAGACTGAGCCGCAACCAAAATCCTCGCTGCGAGCGATGGAAGAGGACAGAGCAGGATCTGATTCTTCTCTCCAGAAACCATGGATATTTTGATGTTGCAACTTGCGGCCAAGTTCCTTGTGGCCTGAAAAGAGTGAATAGGATTGGCGGGGTTTTTGCATAGCACTGAAGTACCCCCCCACACACACACTTGCACCTTCCAGGAAGGAAATGGTGCTGGGATCCTGGAAATGCTCCTCAGCTGGGAGCTTGGGATGGGGGTTTTCCTACTGAAAATGGCCTTGGGAGTGTGTTGCTCTTCCTTGGAGCTTCCTACAGGCTTTTCATTACCTGCATATTTCCTACTTTTGACACTAACTCTGGCTTTGCTCTTGTTTTCAATTTAGGAGCCGTAGCTCTTCTGCCCACTTGTAAGTGCAACTGGTATGGGTAATGGTGTGAGAGAAGGTCAAGGGGATTGCAAACGGCAGGATGTGGAGCCAGCTACATCAACCCACCTTCTGTCAGAGGTGAGAGCAGGAGGTTGGGGATGTGCGGTGGGTTTGGGAGAAGAGCTGCGTGGCTGCTGAAGGAAGCATCTCGATGGGATTCGAGCTGTGGTGGTGTAAAAGAGTCTCAGCGTACGTGCAATCCATGGAAACGCGCACGTTTTGCTGTGGCTGAGGATAGCTGAGCCCTCTGGGAAGGGGCTGGGCATCGCTCAGAGCTGACGGGCAGGCAGGGCTGCGTTCCTTGTTCAAGGTTAGGTCTCGTTATGTCTTCAGTGGTGGAGCTGGGAAGAGAGCCATAAGTCTTGATTTCCCTGCTCCCGCGGCTGTTACCAGGCTCCTGCTAGGAACGCTGGAAGAGACGCTGAACCTTGGTCTGATTTTAGACCAAAACTCAGGCTGAAGTTCACACAGTGCTGCCTTTGCTTGGCTGCCCTCATGTTTAGCACCAGACAGGCAAAGATTGGAATGGAAAAACCGGACTGAACCATGTATTTTGGTAATAAACATTAACTTTTTAGCTGTGAAACATTCTGGAAGAAAGAAAAATGTTAACTCCTCCATGAAAACACAAAGCATATCGGAAGTTAACGTTCTTAAGCCCTGTCTTGACTTGTCTTTCAGCCCGTAACCTTCACGGTGTTAGATTTCAAGTCATTTACTTGCTTTCTGCACATGTGTTATGAGAAGATAGCTGCTTTATAAATATGAGCAGTGGCAGGAATGTCAGTAACAAAACCACTTCCATTCCATTTCTCATAGTAGGAAACCTGTCTTGTTTTATCCTTAGGATAATGGGAACAACATGGAAATGGGGCTTGCACGTTACTGGGAGGGTAGGAAAGACGCTCACCTTCTGTGCATGGCTAAATCACGAGGAGGTAGTGGCTTCGCTTTTAGAAACCTTGGTAGAGAGAAAACAGCACACGTAAGAGGTGGCAGAGCCCAGGACTTTGCATTTTGGCAGCCAAGTTGAATCTTTGTTCTTCATGATCTGACCAGGAATTTAATGTACTTGAAATTTTGAAGAGAATTCTGACCCGAGTCCTTGAGAGGGGGGTAAATGCTGCAGCAAAGGTAAAACACTACAACTTCTGCTTAGGGCTGACTGTGTCCTATGAACAACGCTTTGTTCCAGGGTAACCAGGAGAAAAAGAAAGTACTCAACTCCCTGATGTCTGGTGCATTGGCTGGCGCCGTTGCTAAAACTGCAGTAGCTCCACTGGATAGGACAAAAATCATGTTTCAAGGTGAGTCCCCTTGGCTTTTGCAAAATGTCCTTACTTTATTGTGAGCAGGATCCAAAACAGCTTCTCTGATCTGCTCAGCCAGCCTGTTCTCCAGTGCTTTGCTCTCCTTGAGCCTGCGGAGACCTGGCAGGGTGCAGGCAGAAGAGTGACGTTACCACAAGGAATTGAATCTAAAAACCTGTTGTTTGGTTCTTGGTAGGGTTTTTGCAGGTGCCAAGCAGCCGTGCCTCTGGCCCGTAGCGTTGGATCCAGGTCTCATGGTAGTCAGCAGGAGTTTTGCCGTTTCAGTGTAACGCACGTGTTGCTGGTTAGGACTGGACGATCCTAAAGGTCTTTTCCGATCTAAACAATTTGGTGAGATGCCTGTGGCTCACGAGCGTTGGCCGGCCCCACGTGTTTTGTGGCACAAGGGAGGGTTTTGGAGTGCAGAGTAAATAGGTGCTGTAAAGGCAGCATTTGAGGGGATGGTGGGGATAACAGTTGGACTTGACGATCTTCAAGGTCTTTTCCAACCTAAACTATTCTATGATTCTATGGGTGACACTGGATTTCTGTGTTCAGTTTGGAGGAATGAGGTGGGGAGGGGAAAGGAGCAATAGAAGAAGACGTGGTGATGCTGGAGGGAGGTAATTGAGCTGTTTGAGTTTCTTGCTAAAGGCTGGAAGCCAGGCCGTGCCTGCTCAGGTGTTCACAGTCTGCTCTAAGAGTTGTGTTGTGTTGCAGCTGAATTGTTTTGGTTAGAGTTGAGGTTAATGACGAAAAGTGCTGCAAGAGGTGTTGAAGCTGGCGTGCCTAGCTTTGTGTTACCAAGCCCTTTTTGGAACCCATGAAGTGTGTAACAGAAAATGAAGTTCATCTGGTTGCAACAGAAAATTCCCACACGTTTAGCGGGATTTGGGATGCAGCCCCATCGTGGGCTCTGTTTGGTTCCCCTGTGCCGGTGTGGGAGCTGTCAGCTACGCTGGCTGTCCCAGAGGGAAGGGTGCAGGCTGTTAATACAGCAGGCATTTGGTGAGGCCGAGAATTTTAAATCTGGTTGACATCCCAGATTAAACGAATTGCGTAGGTTTAATCTAATCCCTGGATGAGATTTAATTTTGTATTGACTTTCATTTGACATGGTTTTCATTCTCAGCACAGCAAGGGCTGAGGTCTGGAATAGTGGGGATGTAGATGGGGGGAGTTCAGGCTGGAGGGAGCTAAAGCCCGGGCTGCCTGCAGGCTGGGATTGCATCTGCGACCAGATGCTCGTGCAGCGACGAGTACGTGCCGTGCTTCCTCACCAGCACAAACACTGCAGTTCATCTGAGGTTGGAAATGTCAGGTTCGGAGGTGAGATGGAAACTGCAGAGCTGGCGTGAGTCAACAGCTGCCCCTATAAATCACCTTTAATTGTACAGGCCTACATTTATAAAAAGACCTGTTTGGTTTGGCCCATTAAACTCGCTGCAAAGGATATGATTAAGCTTTGCCCATTCTGACCGATGTCCCGGTATCTAATGTATTTCTCAGTCTCTTGCCCTCCTAAATGTTCTTACTCTGGGGCCCCTTCCCTGCTTGTGAAAAGAGAAAAGCATCTTTGGGTCGTGCAAGTGTAGGAAGGTTGTCCCTTGAACTAGGGACTGAAGAATTTTCCTGTGGGAGAAGGAGAAGAGCCCTTTTCCATCGCAGAGCCAGCTGCAATGGGGTTATTGAGGTGTGTTTATTTCTTAAAAAAAAAAAAAGTGTTGAATTGCATAAAGGAGCAGCGTGGTGAAAATGTATTTGCATGCAATTGTTTGATACACTCGAGAGGTTCCCAGTCTCAAAGGAGTTTGAAAGAAACTGCAATAGACACTTAATTGGAACCATGTTTCATTAGCGTGGCTGTTGGGGTTTTAGCCTGGGTTTCCTTCCTGCTGTAGGAATGTTACAAAACAGAGCTGCTGTATGCCAAATAAATCTTGCTCCCAAATGCCTTGTGTATTACATAGTTAAAGAGATGCTGTCAGTTTGAATGGATGCAAGAAAAGAAACTGATTGTTCATTTGAGTTTTGCCAGGATGAAACCGTTCTTGCGTGGAGCCTCGCTAAACAGACCCGTTCTTTGCTGGATTCTGGCATTAGGCTGGAACCCAGGCATGGAAATGCTCTGCTAAAATAAGTGGTTGGTGCGGTTTTGGTTTGGTTTTGTTGGTTTTTTTTTTTTTAATTTTGTTCTTTACTCATTTATTTTTAGTGCTTTAAAGTAAGAAGTGTGACAGAAACTGAGCGCTTTCATAACACTAGGTGGAAAAATGAACTTATATGCTAAAGAGAGTTTGGGAGCACTTACCAGAGGAAAGCCTTTGTTTATTATAAAGAATCTCTATTTTCTCTTGCATTAATTCTTTTGCTTCTATTTTTATCCCTTAGATAAAATGCCTGTATGGTTTATTTGATCCATCTTAAATGTATTGCAAGACCTAATGCTCATTTTTTCTTTTTAGTGTCTTCAAAAAGATTTTCTGCCAAGGTGAGGTGATGTGTCTGTCTCCTGTTGACCTGAAATGGTTGATTAATGGTAGTAATAGCCCTAACAGCATCTTTGGTTTGTGTTTATTTAACTTCCTTGCTTGGGTTCTATTAGGAGCACTCGTAGTGAAAGAGCATGGGGGGAAAGACTGGGAACAAGATTGTTTATCATACTCCCTGGGACGGTGCTCTTCCATGTTCATGTTTTTGTCCGGTGCCTAGCACAGAGGGGCCTCGCTCCTCGCTCATACTCCGGGTTCTGCCCGTGACGTGGCAGGAAATGTTGTGGCATCGCTCAGGGCTTCGTTTTGTTAGACCTTCTCCTCCAGTGTCTGCTTTCTTTCCCCCAGCCGCCACTGGAGTTGTTTCAGAGTACAGAGGACATTTGAATTTGGAAGCTGATCGCTGCCATCGCTTGCTGGCTGTTCTGCATTACAGCCGTTCCCTGGGTGCTGTGCTAATATGTGTAATCCACATTTTTCTGTCCATAGGACAGAAGATTCATTTGGGTTGAGAAATGGTTTGTGCAAACAGCAGTCCAGGAGGGAAAATGAAGATGTCTGGAATGTAAAATTCTGTCTTCCCGACTCCAGTTCTCTTTTGCTCTAACATATCCTATTCAGTCTCCCCAGAGAAGCCCTTTTAGTGGTCTTAATCTGGAGTCGGGGTTGTGAGCGTAAACAGCTGGTATCAGCTTACTGTGGTTGGGGTGGGAAGGAGGATTTGGAGAGGTTAAGCTCTAGGGTCACCTTTTCCCCCTCTATTGTTTGGACTCCCTCTTATCATGATCTCCCTGTCTGACCTTTGATCCCTTGCCTGCAGGAAGCCTACAGGCTGATTTATCGCACCTACCTCAATGAAGGCTTCTGGAGTCTCTGGCGGGGGAACTCAGCCACCATGGTCCGTGTGATCCCTTACGCTGCCATTCAGTTCTGCGCGCACGAAGAGTACAAGCAGCTCCTGGGGAGTTACTACGGCTTCCAGGGAAAGTAAGATGCAGCGTGGCTTTGATCCTTGCAGAGGAGGATGGAGCAGTTTGTGGGACCGTAGATTGCAGGGAGGGAGCACGTTCCTCCGCTTCGTGCAGGCCTGCTGAGTTGAAAGCTCTGTTGGCACAGAGTCGTGCCGGCCCCTCTCATGATGGCTTCGCAGAACAGGGTGTGTGAGGGGGCTCAGCAAAGGGCTGGGCTTCTAGTCTTGCACAGGGGAGATCTTTGTGAGAACAGGACCCTGTCTTCTAGAGGCATGAGCAAGAAGTGGCCTAGACACTGAGTTAGCACTTCCCTGTGCTGAGAGTGGGCAGGCAAAACAAAGAGCTTTTCTTTGCGGGAGAAGCAACAAGATCCAGCCTTGCGCTGTTATCTGAGCCATGCGCGCGGCCTGAGCCTCTTGCTCTTGGGCATGTAGTGTCTGAGACACCCCAAGTCAGGCTTGCTATCCTCAACAGATACTAATCTAAGCCTATGGCTCGGAATGGCTGTGGCAAACCACGGCTGCTTCAACCCCCACCCGCCCAACTCCCTTCGGTACACAGGCTGGGAAGGGATTCAGTAGCTGATAGAGTAGAGCCATCCTCCAAAGCCACATAGTATTTCCATCTCCAGGTGATCTGTTTGGTCTCTTCTCTCACCTTACTTTAGAGCGCTGACACCCTTTCCTCGATTCATTGCTGGCTCTCTGGCAGGCACAACGGCTGCCATGTTAACCTACCCCTTGGATATGGTCCGTGCTCGAATGGCTGTCACGCCGAAGGAGATGTAAGTGCCTAACAAAAGCAAGTACAAGCACCACGAACAAATGCAGAACTTTCTTTTGAGGTCAGATGACTTTATTCCCATTTTCTGGGTCACTTCTTGCTCGGAGCCTTTGGTGTAATAAAGCTCTTACTGCTGGGGTCTGAGCACTGATTAAATGACCAAGAGTCCTGGTTAGCCCAGGGGCTGGAAGGAGATCGATACTGAAAGACCTCGCGAGTAAAACCCGTGTGTCGGCTCTTCAGGAGGCCAGCTGGCACAAGGCCTCCAGAAGAGATCTAACGGGCAGGATAGCACGTTGTGATAGGGCTGTAGGAGAGCTGGGGACTGGCTTCTCCGATTGCAGACAGGCTTCTGAAATCCCTTCTGAGCTGTTCGATGAGCTCAGAGCTGAATTAATTAATTGTTGATCCTTCAGAAAGTCCTGTTGGAAATACTACTGGTGTGTGCAGTCACTAACCAGTGCAGATTTGGTTTTCCTGTGTCCACATCCTAGGTACAGCAATATTGTTCATGTCTTCATCCGGATATCCCGAGAGGAAGGATTGAAGACATTGTATAGGGGATTTACACCAACCATCCTTGGAGTGATTCCATATGCTGGGCTTAGCTTCTTCACCTACGAGACGTTCAAGAAACTACATGCAGGTAAAGGCAACTTGGTTTGCTTTCAAATGACACGGTGTAGGCTTTTGGCCAATTTGAGATGCTCAAATTCAGTGGTACAAGTCCTTTTGCTGGCCTTGAAGCCAACTGCACAGTTCTGTGCTTGTGGAGGACGCCTCGTGCCCTTGCCTCTCCAATTTCAGACTATGAAGAAGGCAAGCTGCAGAAAAGCAGTATCCCTCTCTGGTAGAGGAACAAGAAGGTGCAAGTCCTGGGTGCAGGAGGACTTGGTTATGTACCAAGTCAGCTAACAACCAAGTTGGGAACAAAATCTCGGGAGCTCTGGCACTCTCTTTGGGTCTCAACCCACTTGACCGTAATCATGTGTTTATTACAAGCAGGTTTCTATGCTCTGCTACTTTCTCTTTCCCAGATCACAGTGGGAAATTGCAGCCATCCCCTCCGGAGCGGCTTTTGTTTGGTGCCTGTGCAGGCTTGATTGGCCAGTCAGCTTCCTACCCCCTGGACGTGGTTCGCCGACGAATGCAGACGGCGGGGGTTATGGGACACACGTACAGTTCCATCCTTCTCACCATGCAGGAGATTATAAGAGAAGAGGGACTAATCCGTGGCTTGTACAAAGGACTCAGCATGAACTGGGTCAAGGGGCCAATTGCAGTGGGAATAAGCTTCACAACCTTTGACCTGACGCAGATCCTTCTCCGTAAATTACAGCACAGCACTAATGTTGAAAGGTAGTAGCTTAATCCCCGCAGCCCTTGCTGGGGAAAAGTACAACGCGTGTACAAAGAGCAATGCTAGCGTTCCCTCACTTTGTACGTGCTCTCCTGCGGCTGAGAACTGACCTTCCATGTTTGTTTGTTTCCGTTGTTGGGGTTGTTGGTTTTTTTTTTTTTTTCTTTTCAATGAGCCTCTGAGTTACTTGGAAACCTCGACCTGAAACTCTTTTCCTAAACGCAATTCTCCTTGCAGTTCTGCAGAACTGAGTCCTCTAAAGTAGCTGCCTCACCCTTCACTTTGACTCTTTGACAGCAGGAGCGGAGCCTCCCAACCAACCCCGTGCTGCTGCTGGCTCCTCACCTGAGCTCTGGGGGCAGATGAAGCGGTGGATGATGAAAGAGAGGACTCGGCGCTGCTGGAACGAACCCCCGAGTCTGGGAAGTGACTGCTGCTCCTGGGAGGCAGCTTTTAGTTACTGAACGTGTATTAGCTGGAGGCAGTCTGCCAAGTGCAATATTCCAGTTAGTCTGTCGGGAATTCCAGGTTCCTCTGACCTGTAAGCATCGGCCTCCATAAAACAGGACCCAGCGGGATTTAACAAGTCCGGGTCACTTCTTTTGTTCTGGAACTCGAAAGTGAGCTCCGGCTGGAAACGCTGCCCTTTTTCCAATGTTCTTCTCGTTTCTGGGCTTTGTTGCATAAAACACCCCTTGCTTGCAGTGCCCTCTGAGATTACCAAAGACTGTAGACAGCAGGGGAGGAAAGCTCCGAGCGGTTTTGTTAAGTCAAGTTCTCATGTTTGTTGTCAGTGTTGTTGAGCGGGGGCTGTGCCTGGGTTCCCAAACTGGATTGAGGCAAACTGCAGCAGAGCTTTCGGGCCACCCAGACCCTTCCCTTGTTGTCGCCACGGTCTTGAAGGCAGCGTTTGCTGCGGCACTGGGCAGGCTGCGGTGTTGATGTGCTAGCAAAGGAAGTGTTACATACGTAAAACTTCAGCGGTTTTATCCTTCAGTATTATTGTTGCTGCTTTACGCATGACGCGAGAACAAACGGCTCAAACGCGCGCGTGCCGCGGGCTTGGCGGGGCTGCGAGGCTCGTCGCCTCGGGTGCGTGCAGCCCGGCGGTTGGCCCCGCTTCCCGACAACCTCCTTGTCCCTTGGTGCCTGCTGGGTAGGTTGTGTCACCTCCCTTTGCTAGTCCACACCTAAGCCCACTTGCTTTTATTCCTAGAGTTCTTCTGGACCTGCTGGGTCCTTGGGAGGCTCTGCAGCCGGTGTTGACCCTTCAGAGATTCCTTACAGTGCCAATCATTTCCAGTTGCAATTTGAAAGTGAATGGTGAAGTACCTTTCGGTGTTCCTATTTCAAATCACTTTTCTCCATTTGGTGGGGGCGGTTTTGTTTTATGGTCCATGCCTACATTAAATTTGGAGCGCAAGAGAGGTCAGAGCAAACTTTAGACTTCTCTCAGAATCAGATTACGTAAGCCAAGATTAAAAACCCCTTTCCAGCCGATATAGGCCGTAATGTATAAAAGAAAAATAAGGCATAATTTAAAAGCTGTCCTCTTCTGGTGTATGTATCTTGGCCGTTGTAGCGTGAGCCTTGTGTCATGGCTTTATTAATGGGAACGGAGGTAATTGCACAACTGGTAGACGGAGCTTTCTCCTTTCTTTTGTCTTTGCACTTGTTCTTTGGAGCCTAACTTGCTTCTAATGCCAAATATTTCACTAGGAATTGAGCACCTACACTTCCATTTTGTGGACACGGCAGAGCGCCAGCGTACTGAAGTCTTAGCATGAGCGTTGTTCCCAGAACACGTGGGATCGATCGTACTTTAATGGCTGTGGATGGGCGGGGTATTAACCTCGGTAATTTCTGCTTCCAGGCCCACAAATTGATGATTTCCGTTGTGAAACTTGACTGCAGTCACTGATTTACCTTGCAATGACAGAAATGTTAGGTGGTGGTGTTTTAAGAGTCTGTAGAGATGACAGCCCTGAATTCTGTGTATTTTTTGCTCCCGTTGCTAATAGAGGGTGATCAGCTGTTCCCTTTGTTTGGGTAACGTTTTAGTCCTTTGCAAGAGCTCAGATTTCTTTTCTCCAATGGAGAAGCCAATTAATCCTGCTCTTGTCGTTTATCTTGTCTGGCCCAGTGAGGCAACACTAAGGCAGTTGCACCCTACCACAGAAGCGAGGTACAGACCAGCAACGAGGTGTGTCAGCAGCTGCCTGTGCGTACGTGCGCGTCTGTGTGTCTGGCCGCGTGTACCATCCACGCCGAGCTCGCTCTCGGCTTGGAGGCTGCCAGGTCAAAGCGCGGTTCTTTCTGCACGGCGATGGGTTCTGCGTGAAGATGAGAGGAAGCTGAACCGGCGCATCCCAAGGTCGAGCGGGCTCCTTCGCTCCGCAGTATGGTCGGTCATCTCGGAGGCAGCAGATCTTGTCTTGGGAGACGTTGAGCATCGCTGAACCCCTATGGCAACAGAGGTGGCTTAATTCCTCCTGGGTCCTGACTGAGAAGAGGTTTCCACTGGATGACTAGCCTGCCTTCTGCCCCGTCAGGAGTGCTGCTGGGGTGTAAATGAAGGGGAAGCCTGCGGAGGAGGCAGCCTCTGGCTCCTGACCCTGGCGTCGGCCACCGTGCCGCTGAAACGCGGTGCAGGCAGCTCAGAGCCTGGGGACTGAGCTGAGAACCAAGACTTGAAGCACAGCCAGCCTTGGGCTCAGAGAAGTTGTTCCTTAATTAGCAGCTGCACCTGATCTTAATTCAATGGAACTTTAGCCAAGCACGTTTTTCCACGTTTTGCAGGCTGAGTGTTTGTTCCGAGACAGATCTTTGAATTCGGTCTGTAATGGGTTTGGTGCTTTTGTTTCTTGGGCAAAAGTGTTCAGAGCAACTGTGTTATTGCTTTGGGTTGTTGTAAAGAGCTGCTTTTTTTTTTTTTCTTCTCTGGTTTGAATGTAGAAAAGGAGAAACAGAGTGTTCTCTTCCCTTCTCTTAGTCCTTGCATGAATTGAGACGTGTCTGTATCTCTCTGCTGCCTGGAATGAGTGCCCAAGGAGTTCTGGGCATGCTGATTTGGAAATCCTGTGTGCTGGCCAAGAAGGTCCATTGCCTTTAGCTCTGAGAAAGGAGACGAGTCTAACAGGAATATTCTTTCCTCCTTTTCTTTAGAACTTCTTTACTACCCCAAATTCTCCTTTTTTTTTCCTTTTTGTTTGCATTTTATTCTTCTCAAATTCCTTGCTGTTATTTTCAAGTCATGTTTCTCATTCTTCCTTAATGCATTACTGCCAAACATTAATCTGTGCTTTTTTTTTTTTCCCCCCCCTTGTCTACACGCTCCCTCCCCGCTTCTGCACCTTTCATCCCGCACTAGCACTTCGAGAAAATCAGGTCCAATGAAATGCATCCAAAATGACAAAACTGCAGCTTGGATAGCGATGCCCAGACAGCCCAGCCAGGCTTCCCACTCGCAGGCGGGGACGTGTGTGTGCGTGGGCAGGGAGTTAAAGGCACCGGATGGTGGGGCAGAAGCTGTTCTTGAAAGGTTCTTGAACCCCTTGTCCAGCCTAGCGCCTGTCCTGCTCCTAGCACCTTTTCTTCACAAGCTGGGACATCCTGCTGCTTTTTACCGTTTCCCCTTTCGGTAGCTCCGTGTGATGCCCACTGTGTGGCTGCTTGCTGGGTAGGTACCTCGGGGAGAGCTGCGGAGCCTCGGGGGGCGACTTAGGGAACCTGAATGCAAGAGGTGGGATCTGAGCTGGCTTCTTGCAAACCCCTTTGCCCCGCATGCCCCGTGCTGGCCTGTGCTGGTTCCTCGGGAAGACGGAGCCACCGGAGAGCTGGCTGGTGGTTGGCAGGATGGTGGTGGAAGGGTCAGGGGAGATCATGGCCTCCCGAGGCGTGAAGTTGCTGAAAGCCGTGGGGTGGGTAGCGTGGCGCAGCACTGGTACTCCGTGGAAGCTCTCCAAAAGCAGGTTCGTAGCTTCTATGGAAAAGTAGTGGTACTTCCATTAACTTCTGATCGCCTTCTGCCTAGAAGGACTCGAGCGCTGTCGTCTTCACCCTCTGGTGTCTTGATCACAAAAGCATGAAAGGAAACTTTGAGCAGAAGCACTGCGGCAGCCCCGAGCGAGTCTGGTGCCAGTCCCGGGTGGGCAGGAGGAGGAGGCGGCGGCAATGCAGCGGGGTAATTCCCGTGCCATTGCCCCAGTGCCTGCCTGGGTACCTGGGCTCCGTGGGGAGCCAGGGCAGGTGCTACGGACCCTCCTACCTGGACTGGGCCAGAGCAGGAGGTGGCTTTCCTATGAAACAGCCTTTCTGTTGTTGTTGTAGGGGCTGGTTCCTCCCGCTATATCCCCATCTCCCCCTTCAACGCCACGCGATGCCGGGTTTCCCAGCACTGCTCACTGCCTGTGTGGTCTATGCATATATTAGCACAAACACTGTTAAATGCCTTTTGTCAAGACGTGTCCTCACCATCGATGTGTGCGTGTATGTGTGTGCGTCAATTTTGACCGCTTTTCTTGGATCTGGAGTTCTATTTTATTGCAGTGAAGACACTTTGTTATATAATGTTTATATATTTTAAGATTTGTGCCAAGAGAGGATGTATATTTAATAAAAAATATAATTGACTTTGCAGGCTCTCTGAGGGTGTCTCCTACCATACGTTGCTCATGGGGGAGAGGGGCCCGGCGCATCTGGGTGGATTTCACTAAACACGGGGGTGTCGGGGTGGGGGGAGCAGTGGCTGGGGGCACCTCC